CTTCCTAAACCTGAATCAACTGACATTACAAAATCTGCTACAATTGATCCATTCCTTCCTAAACCGGAACCAGCAGAAAATATACCTGTAGTAGTAGCAGCAGCAGCATCACCAAGAATGAAGAAAGCAGCACCAAAAGCAAATCCTAATTTGAAAGGTTTGATAATCATCTTGTTTTCAAATTTCAATCTATATATCTATTTAATAGATGTACAAAAACAAACATCAGTTACTGTTGCTGCTGATCCATGGGGAGCATCAACAACTACAAATGATAATGGAGGTAACTGGGCACAATTTGATGCTACTAATAAAGCGAGTTCACCTTTTGGTACAAATGATGAATGGCCACAAACAACAAATATTTCTAATGAAAATCCAACTATTGGTTAGAAAATTTAGAGATTAAAAGAAAAAATAATTTATAAATCTTTTTTATTTTTATTTTCTAGAAACAATTCACTATCGAGTATTATATGATTATGCATCTGAACGTCCTGATGAAATGGCAATATCAGCTAATGATATCATACTGGTACGTGAATTGATTTGATAATTTCTAACAAAGCAAGAATTTATCTCTTAATATCTATTTATTTTTTTAGGTTGATCCAACTAAACAACAAGATGATCATTGGTTATTTGGTCAAATTGGTAATGATCGACAAGGATTCTTTCCAGCAGCTTATGCAGAACGTATAACGTATGTTACAAAAAAACTAAATTTAATTATAGATTTAATGAAATAATAGTCCGTTAGCTATACTCGAGATTTGAGTAACAAGTATAATAATAAAATATAATTAACGAGAGCGAGCCTTTCGAAATAATAGGAAACTTTTGAGATGAGAATTGTATCATTGAATAGAGACTATCGAAAAGAAACAAAATCCTATCATAGTTCATATTCTTCTCAAGTTATAATATTTATCTAGCTTATAGATCTGGTAGTGACACTGATTGTACATGACAGAACGAAAAAAAAAGTTAGTTGCCCTTGAGATTCGAGTTATTTATCCCCTCATATATTGATGGATACTTGTCTGAATATATTGAGACTAGAACAAATTGATTAATCTGTCTCTAATGATGCAGTATTTTCAATGATATTTCTTTTATATAGATCAACACCAGCAACTAATACTGTTGATACAGTATCACAATTATCGGTAAATAAAAAATAATTTTAATATCATTTTTTTATTTATTGATTGTATGGATTTATTTTTTAGGCTGGATCATGGGTGATAACATTAGCAGAATATCAAGGCAAAACAGTTGATAAACATTTATCATTTCAAAAAGATGAATTGATTCTTGTACGAGAACAAAAAGATGCAATATGGTATAGTGGTCAACTTCAAGACAAAGTATGTCTAGTCATTTTTTTTTTAAATTAAATAATAAAATTTATGTTTAGATTGGTTGGTTTCCAAGAAATTATGTTCGACCAGCAACTGAAGTTGAAATAGAAACCAAGAAAAATTCAACAGAGTAAATAAATCTTTTCTTTAAGAATCTTATATAATAATATATATATATATGATTTCACCTAACAGATAATGATTAATTTACTATTAACAAGAAAATTATATATCGATGAGTATAATAATAGTAATCGATAGAATTGACATGGGTTTATTTTTAATTTCCCTCAGATGCTTTTTGCTAATATTAGATGCCATCTCAATAATCTATTTTATATAGATTGATTTATAGCTTTGTTTTGTGTTTATATATAGAATTACACCAACAAATGAAAAAACTTTGAATTCACCAACTTCTAATAAAAATGAAGTATCAAATGATATTGATAATGGTAAGATTTACTATTATGTTTGTCTAAGTTTTTCATTAAAAAATATTTAGCTGATATATATGAAGCTGTTTATGCGTATGAAGCAACTGATGCATCAGATTTATCATTTGATATTGGCGATCGTATTACTGTATTAGAACGTGATGGTGAGTGGTGGACTGGACAAATTGGTGATCGTAAAGGAACATTTCCAAGTAATTATATTCAAAAAGTTGAAAATATTCAAGAAGAAACAGCTATTGCATTAAAACCATTTGAAGCAACAGAAGAAGATCGTTTATCATTTGAACAAGGTCAAATGATTTACATAATAAAAAAAGATGATAATGGATGGTATCAAGGAGAAATTCGAGTATATCAAACTTTTTTATTTATATTATCATTTAATCTAAATATGTTTTTCTTTTTTAAAAAAAGCTTTCTGATCAACCAGTACGTGTTGGTTGGTTTCCAGCTGAATGTGTGCAAGTACCAGAAGCTACTGCGACAGAATTACCAGTATTATCTCCACAACAAGATACTACAGGTAAATATTAGAGAAATGAACTAAATTGTTTTATTTTATCGACAATATAAAATATAATTAATATATTCTTTCGACATAAAAAAAAGTGTCTCTTTCTCTAGGAATACAACAATATATTGCTATATTTCCATATGAAGCTCAACAAGATGATGAATTAAGTTTTCCAGCTGATGCTGTTCTAGAAATATTAGATCCAGAAAATGCAAGTGGTTGGTTTAAAGCTCGTCTTGGAGAACAAATTGGTTTAATTCCATCGACTTATATTCAACCAATCGGTGTTCATAGTCAATGTAAGTACAATGAAACAAAATATTTCTTATCTTTTATTGATGTTTTTAGGACAATTATGATCATGATATCAAAACATCATCTTATATGCAATCAAATCAGGAAGATGATGATGGTGCCACCATAAAAATCTATAGTCTATAGATAAGCGAGCATTGACGTTTATGATTTTTGTTTTTTTAAAATTAACCCATGCTTCTCACCTTCATTTTTTTAAATTTTGATGTATTACATTGTATGTTACTAGTCGTCATTCTATTCTATTGAATACAGTTGCAAGCAATTTTTTTTACTCAAATTAATCCACATACATTCGCATTGTATTCTATTTAATTATTGTTTTTTTCTTCTTCCGTATGTTTTGTCTGATTGTTGTTATTCATATTATAGTCATATCTTATATAGTCGTTTGATATTCTCATTGACAACATATAAAAATCAAATTTCTTGTCATATTTGCTTTTTTTAAAATAGTCATGTATGTTTTTGTCAATCAATCCATAGTGATTTCCTTCTGATTTGTTTTTTTCCTCCTTCTCTTTTTTTTCATGTTTAATTTGTCAAACCTGGTGATATCTATATGTTTCACCATTCATTAATATTTTTCTATACTTTCACATAAGTGTGATTTTATGATTTGTGCAACGTCTTATATTTATTTATTTGTCTGTGTAAGTCATATTTTTTTGTCTTGCCTATCGTTAGTTTACTCTCTCGCATATGCAAAAATGAAAGAAATATATAAATATATATAATTACATATACTTGGATGAAAAACTTAGAAAAATGATCATAATAAAATTCTTTTCATTTATTTAATATTTCGAATAGAAGAAGAAGAAGAAAATGTTTGAAAAGATGTTTTCTTTTGTTTGCTGTTGTTTTCCAACATTAACATCACCTACTCCATCAACACCAATCAAACATAAACATCACCCATCTCATAATCATAAAACAGTTTATACCATACCTTGTTGTAAGTTAAGAGTAAATAAAAAAAAAAAGATATTCAAACAATGTTAAACTTATAATAACTGCATGATATATAGATATATCTATAATTTAAAAAAAAACTCTAACAAAACCTTTATGCATGATTTATTGTTCTCATGAAAAAAAAATCTAATTATCTTTTTTAATAATTTTTTTTCCAGCTGCACCTACTCCATGTTATCTTTCTCCAAATGTAATACCATGTACACCTACACTAGCAAATTCATCTCGACAATTATATTGTGATAATACAACAATATCATCAATGAATGACTCATCAACTTTAATAACTGATACATCATCATCACATCAGACAGTAACTAATTCATCACGAATAGCAGCTATTCGAGAATTAATTGAAACAGAACGACGTTATGTTAATGATTTATGTACAGTTGCCAATGAATTTATTAAGCCATTAAGTAATGGTCGAATTTTAAGTGATTATGAAATTGAACAATTATTTAGTAATTGGTTTAGTTTAATTGCATGTAATAGTGTTTTTCTATCAACATTACAAGATCTAGTACAATTTAGAGAACATGTACTCATATTAGATGAGAGTGAATCTATGCGAACACCACGCTCAGCATCTATGTCAAATATTGCAATGATTGCTAATGTAAGTGTTAAAAATTGAATCGAGTTAATCTATATATTCTATAATGAATTTTTAGGCACCAGTTCACTTTTTTGTTGAAATTCAGCATCTTTCTTTGGATCGTCAAGGATCACATTCACAATCTATGCAACGATTAAAAAGTCGTACTGATCTATATCGTCGTCATCGTGCACCATCTAATAATAATTTAACAAGTAAACGTTCAAGAACTATCGAACGTTTAGATGATAATATTGTTCCTCAAGCAACTCATTCAACTTCATATATGACAATAAATGAATCAACACGTATAGGTGATGTTCTTTGTTCATATTTACCATATATGGCTGATGCTTATTTTCAATATTGTAATCGTCATTCACAAGCAAATAAATATTTACAATCAAAAATGACTTTGAATAAAGAATTTAGTACATATTTAAAAATTTTTCAATATAAAACCGGTGGTTTATCATTAAATGGCTTTTTAACAAAACCAATACAACGTGTTACACGCTATCCATTATTAATTGAAAAAATTCTTAAACATACACCAATAAATCATCCTGATTATAAATATATACAAAAAGCATTTGATTGTGCACGTCAATTAAATGAACGAATTGATACACAAATATGTGAACAAGAAAATAGTTTACGTTTAAATTGGTTACAACAACATTTTATATTTCATACAGATGAAGATTCTTCTGCTGATGGTTATATATTTGATGAATTAGTGAAATTTAATTCAAGAACGAAATATCATACGCAAAGACAATTACTTCTACATGGTTTTATTGTGAAGGTTAGAACAAATGAAATTAAATAAATAAATAAATATTCTTCTTTGTTTGTTTGTTTAGATGCCTAGTGGACGAGAATTATTAGTATTTTTATTTAATGACTTTCTTTTATTTGCAACAATGAAATCATCGTCAAGTCATTGGCAATCACAATTATTTGAACGAAAATCCAATTTACAATTAAAACTTTACCGAACAGTTAGTTATTTCATCTACATATAGAATATATTTTTTTACTTCATTTTTAGCCAATATTTTTAACAGACATTATTATTGTAAATGAATCATTAACAGATCAATTGACGTTTTCTATTGCAACAAAAATTTTTGAAAAACCAATAATATTAAAAACGCAACAAAATAATATTCGGTAAGATTTTAAAAAATAAAAGAAGGTTAATTGTTTTCTTTATTCTTCTAGTACATTATGGGTACGCACAATTAATAATGCTGTAGAGGAACTTAAAGCAATAGAAAAATCAATTATATCAAATAAAGCATTGTTCAGTATTACACGTGAAGATGGTGATTATAATCCAAAATCTGCTATTGCACGTCTTATTCTTGTTGTACAAGAAGCTCATGATGTAGTACCATCAATACCAACACTTGAACGAGCACGTTCGTATTTTGTTTTTTATTAGAAACTTAAAAAAAAGAACAAGTTATCTAATCAGATTGTATTTCTTTTAGGTACGCTGAAATCCTATTGTGAAATAACTATTGGTTCATTATCATCAAGAACACCATCTGTTAAAGGAACAGCTAATCCAAAATGGAATGTACCTATGCAATTTTTTATATATGATCTTGTTGAAGATATTATTCATATTAATTTATTTGATAATAAATATTTTTCACCTGATGGTTTGTACAATATCATTTTTATTCAAATGAAAAAAATATCTTTTTTTTTCTCTATCTTTAGAAAATATTGGTTTTACATCAATGCATTTGATCGATATTTTACCATGTTCACTTGAAACATTTCTTGCTCAACCACCAGCTGCATTTACACAATCAATTTATTTGAATAATGGTTCATCACTGACTCTTAAATGTCTTATTCAATTTTTAGTATGATACCACAGTAGTACTTTTTTTTTTGGTGTTATTTGTACATTTTTAGTTTTTATTTTCGATATTTTTTCTCGCATTTCCTAGTAATTGTGCAATGAGAATTTTTCTAGTCATATGTATATGTCTTCTTTCTAGTAAAAACGAACTCCATTTTAATCCATTCGAAAGAAAAATTTATTCTTATATCATATCAAATCTTAATCGATCAAACTTTTTCAAAAAACATTTTACGATTTTATCGATGAAAAATAGTAATATCACGTCACATATACATCTAATTCATATTTAGATGGATATAAATTCTACCTTTCTTCTTCTAATAATTTTTCGTATTATTCTTTATTATTTTTTTTTGTATTATTACACATGCGTTTCTCACGCCTTTATTTTTTTATTCATTCATCATATAAATAAAACAAAAAAAAACAAACATTTCACATGCATTTTTATCGATATGAATAATCTATGACACATCAGAATTATGAGGTAATTTCTTGCATCAGTAAATCTTACGAAAATGTGGTGTAATACTTCAAAAAAACCCAGTAAAATGGGTAAAGACAAACTCGGTTTTAAAAATCTAGTTTTTATATTGCAACTATCGCTTCTCGGCCCAAAAGGCTAAGATCAAAGTGTAGTATCTGTTCTCGTCGGTTTGAAAGCCGGCGCTGGTCTCATCGGGACCAGGCTCTTTCAAGCGGATTTTTGGATCACGACCGGGATCATCCGAGTTCACTCGGCGGACCCGTGTCATGGATCGTCTCGACACTGCAGTGCTGTCGAGTTCGGTTCACCCCCGTTTCTTTCGGGAAACGGGAACCACATTATTATTTAATAATCAGAAATGAAAATACTATATATATATATTCTATGAGTCATTCGAGACATGAGAAAAAAAGAAGAGTGAACTAATTAGTGAACTTTCGTCTAGTAATTATATAGACAATTGTGAAATTCTGTAATTGAACTCTACTCTATGCTTTTTTTACTATAATAAAACTAGAATACAGTACAAGCGTAAAGAAAATATCACATAACGAATAAAATAGAAGTTATTTTCATTTTTTTGTTATTAATAAAAGTGTTGCTCTGGCAGATTAGTATTGCTACCAACCCGCACAATT